AGTGAGGGATGTGGTAGTTGTTAGTATGCACTATTATGGATTTTGTATTTACTTTTCTGTAACTATTTAGGACTGTATGAACATTGTGGACTATTTGGACTGCGCAGGACATATTATGTTGGTTGTGATGTTCATTGTGGTTGCATTTTGCTCCTTGGATGATTAAATGTTTGGAATATATAATGATGTCTCTGTTTGTAACTGTGGATGCTCCTAAAACAAGGGAAACTCTTGCGAATTTTTTTCGTGAAACAATAATCATACTACACTGCTAAAAAGACACAAATGTAGTACACAGATTAACTATAAATTTATTAGAAAGTGTATAATCCTAAACATTTAGTACATACGCTTTGTAGATGAATCTAAGGTTACCAAGCAATAGTGAACGATTCTATGCTTTTCAGATAATAAAAATAGAGTTTTCAGATACAGGGACAACAATGATTTATCACATCACTGATATAGTACTGGCATGCAAGGAAGCACAACTCCACTCTATCTCCACCATCCATCTTATGACTGTTTGATCCAAGGGCTGAGGTGAAGAGGCACACGGATCGCTGACATGGCACACTGAGAGGCCTCAATTCCTCCTCTCAACCTATAAATAACCACTCACTCCCTCTCATTCACACACACAACAAGAAGAAGAACACTCTTCATTATTTTCTTTCGTTGCAGTATCAATATCTGAAGGGTCGTCAGAGGGAGAGGAAAGAAGAAGGGAACTACCTGGGGTTGGGAGGGTCCTCTTGGTCCTGATTTCTTTGAGGAAGCTCTTTATAAGAGGTTCCTAGTTGAGAGCAAAAGTGATTTCACCAAAGAGGCACCACTGAGAGGATACGATGAAATGAAAGAAGAGTGGCCAAAATGCATGCATGGTGAGGACTGCCTAGTGCAGATGTTCACCGAGGGAATAGATGGAGGTCGTCGTTTCTTTAAATGCCCGCGAGCATGAGTAATTACTATTACTATTTGTTTCTTCAATATGTTTCTCTTATATATAACTTACACGACATACTTATTATAGTCTTCCTTGGTCGAAGAAGACTGTGGGTTCAGTAGGTGGGTCGATCCTCGACCTATTTATCCGCATGCGGAGTACATCTACTACCTATAGGACCGTATCTTCGATCTAGAAAGGAAAGTTAGCAGCGGTTACAAGGACGACGGACCGGACGACAACAACAATGGTGTCGATTCACAGGAGGCACTCTGCAATGATCCATATTGCACCTACCCTAACCACAATAACAAGGGGCCTCCCCCGTCACCCCCATCACCCCCGCCACCACCACCAACAACAACGGGGGGCTACTATGGAGAAGGTGCAACACAATTTGCTATGTGGCCACACTACTAGAATGACTTTATTTTTTTCACATACCACATCTATGTGTTTGTTGTTTGGTTTAATTACCTAAGGCATGTTAGGTTTAGTCGAAAGAAACTCTGTACCCAGGTTCGGTACATGTAGTCACATGCCATTTCATGTGTTTCGTGTGTTGATTTATATAATGCCGTACGTCGTAAGTTTTTTTTCAGCACGTGTTCACATTTCAATACGTCTCGTATCATTAAGCAGAATATTAAGACCATAAATAATAAAAACAACCACATAATAAAAAGTTCAATACTATGCCACATTACACAACATATTAATACTAGAAGTACGTGCCGACAATAGACAAAGGGGCAAATGCACTTCCAAATCCTCAGTCTGAAACGTATTGAGTAAGCAACTCATCATCCGAGTACCAGCCCTCTACCACAACCCTATTGCTATGGCTAGGCTCACCTACATTGCTCTGACCTGCCTGTCGCCTGTAGTAAGCGCCTCCGCTTCATCTGCGGCCACTGCGGCCTGAGTGAAGAACACGTCGTCATCCTCCTCCGCCTGTAAGCCTGCCTCTGCTAGAGCGATGAGCTCGCTCAGTCTTCCAGTGTCGTCCTCAGCCTCCTTCGCCTGCATGCTCGCCTCTGCTAGAGCGATGAGCTTGCTCAGTCTGCCAGTGTCGTCCTCAGCCTCCTACGCCTGCATGCCCGCCTCTGCTAGAGCAATGAGCCCACTCAGTCTGCCAGTGTCGTCCTCATCCTCGTCCCCCTCATCAGACAACACAATCGGTGATTGAACGGTGCAACTAGCTCACGATCTATGCTCATCTAACTTCTTCTCCTCATACCTTGCACGAGCCACCTCTGCGGCATGTTCCTCGCTGCAACCAATCCCTTCATGTATAAAATGCAATCAGTTAGCAACGTGATTATATTACATTTAAAATCAGGCAACGAAAAAAAGGCTTTCAAGCACTCACTGGCACATAATGTAGCAACATGCTCGTTCAAGACCTGCATCTGTACTCTTGTCTCCTCCCTTGCCTCATTCCTTGCCCTCTCCTCCTCTAACGTCATCCGCCTCTCCAATCCCCATTTGTTAAGCCCAACATCGATCGGGTTACAAATACCGCGTTGTCTAGCAAACTCACACATCTTTTCTTTGTGATGTTTAACGAATAGGTTGACGTAGTCAGGTCTATATCCCCTCTTCCATGCAATTAGTTACCTCTTCTTCAGTTCATCCAAGAACTTAGCTTAACCATCATAACATTCCCACCTGTATTTCCTAGTGCTCTGTTCAAAAGAAATATTATATCATATATGTCTTAGCAAAAGAAACAAAATACGATTTCATATTTACCACAAAAATAACGAACCACATCATACTCAATCATATGGCCGTAATAATGGCCTATTCCAAGCTCTGAAGGGACTAGACCATAGTTGAATTTAACACCACATTCGCACATGACAGAAGGTGCTTTGTAGATTACCATTTCTTTCTTCTTTTCCTTAACCCTCTGCGGTTCTTCCGGCCATTGGTTCTTAGGACCATACAACCACTCCTTGAAACGACACTTCGCCATTGAAAACACCTAAATAATGAGACATTAGTACATGAACACATATAGCTCAAGATTTCAACACATACACTTTGCACTTACTTCATGCTTGTTTGGACACACAAACTCCAACGTATTCTCAGGGTTTATCACAGCTCGATCTCCGTAATCGCACAGAGGAGGTTCCTCGAGTCGTCTAACTGCAGCTAGGTGCTTCTCCTTAGCCATCATTGGCGGAGGGTTAGGGGGGTGGAACCCACCGCTTGAAGTGCTCACATGGATGTCTCCCTCTAAACCAATCGTCGAAAAGGAGGTACCTAGGATCAAACTTGTCTGCACCGTTGATCCACTGAAAGAAAAAGCACCTCTCATGGTCCTACACAACGAGATTCCAATAAAATATTAGTAGCATACTTACACAAATAAAGAAAAATGATAGTTGAAACAATTTCTTACATTAAAACGACTGCATGTGTAGAAGCAACGCGCCGCTGTGTCCGGATGTTTCGATTGAAAAACATGGACCGGGAAACCACAGTCATAGTTAGGGACAGGGAGGTCAGGAGGGACGGGGGCATCTTTGCTAGACGCGTCAGGGTATAATTCTCGAGGACGACCCCGTTTTCGCCAAAACTCCTCCCGAAACATTTCTTGCATCTAACGAAACGGATGTAATTTAACAAACATAAATCAAAACATCACAAATAAATGTCAATGAGAACCATAACTACAATACAACCAATTTCGTTCTAAGAACCGAAAGCAGTTAACATTAAACCTGAAACCTAAGGTTTCCCATTTGATGCACAACAATGAACCCATAACATAACTACATGCCCCTAGGTTTGCTAGCTTTTTTCACGCCTTGGTATCATCCTACGGTTGTATAATACATATATTGAGGGATACAATGAAACCCTAAGTGATGACGATTATTACGTTCAAAAATCCGACTAATATATACCGAATCGATGCAAAAAAACTAGGAGAAGAGTGAGGATACCTTGTTCTCGAAGATCTACGGATCAAATCAAGGTTTTCAAGGTCCAATATGTCGATTCGTGAGGTAGGGTGAAGTGGGAAGAGAAAAAACCTGAGAGGGAGGAGAAAGAAGAGAAAGAACGTTCGGGCAGGAAGGTTGGGCCGGGGTTAAATGGCAGGGATCTCGGTGCCAGAAACTATGGCGTCGAGCTCGGCGCCAGAGTGACTGGCGCCGAGCTCCCTGCCATGTCATCCACCAAGCCCAGGACCTCGGCGTCAGGGACGTTGGCGCCGAGACGTGTTATCTCGGCGCCAGCATTAATGGCGCCGAGCTAAGGGTCCATTTTCTGAATTCTTTCCGCCAGGGGTCTATTTGTGAGAAACTTTCAAAAAAGAGTTAAATTATAAAAAATTCGGACTCCAAAACCGTACCCCCAAACTCCCAAAAATGTTTGAATTACCTCATTGACCTGGTTTGGAGACGTTTTGAAGGCGGGGTTCTCTCTTTTTTTTAGTTAAAAAAATTTGGTACATACTTGATATAATGTTTTTAAACCACATAAATTTTTTCTAAGCTTTTAAAAATTTATCTTTGTATATTTGCACCAGAAACTCTTTTCTACTCACATTGTCCGATGGATACGCGCGTCTTCCACGCGTGGATATATTTGCACAGTTGGTTTATTTTTCAAGCGTGGAAAGAGTGGGAGGTGGGATTAGAAACTGTTGAAAAAGATTTTTTTTATTTTTGCTAAAAGTCCTAGATAGAGAGATTTTATTGAGAACTCTTGGAGATGCTCTTAAGGAAACACATGCTTAGATTAGACGTAGATATAAAAAACGGAAAAGATGAAAAGGATAAAACGGGCAATGCTCTGTTTCATGGGCCGTAGGCCCGTAGGTCCCCCACCAACACGGACACGTTCGAGCCTCTTCCAATCCACTTAAGTCGCATTCCCATGCCTCGCGTCCGCTCCGCCTCCCCTCTCTCTCTCTCTCCACTTTTAAACCCTCCGCCGCTCGACGACACCACACGAAAATATACGTCAGAAATAAACCGGCAGCAAATCTTTTCCAGCACCGGCAGCTCTCGAATCCGGCAATCCGCCGCTCCGAATGGACTCAGGGTACAACCCCCGGACGGTGGAGGAGGTGTTCCGGGACTTCAAGGGCCGCCGCGCCGGGATAATCCGCGCGCTCACCACTGGTATGCGACCGATTCGTGAATGGATCGATTCTCTCTTTCTGCCTAACGATGAGTCTTCACGAATGGAGTTTGAGTTTATCTGCCATGTGTGTGAGGGTTTCGGATGGTGCCGTGACTTGTTTTAGCTTGTTGTTGCTGCAGATGCGGAGGATTTCTTCAAGCAATGCGACCCAGGTGAGTGAATTCTTGCTTTGTACGTAGCGTAATTTTGCCATTTTGGGTTGCTTTGCCCCCACAAGGTTGTGCTGTTCCATGGTCCAGATTTTTTATTTTGCAGTACTGAATTTATCAATCATGGATGAGTTTACTGCTTTTTTTTTTCAATTTGGGAGGCGTGTTCTGTCATCATTCTGGTCAATATTTGTTTTCGGTTTACATATAGAAATATGTTCTTTTTTTGAAACTATGAAACTATCTAGGTATATTATTGCTGAGTGTTACTGCAGAAATACTAGCATTATGTGCAAGATTTAAAGCATCACCAAGAGAATGCCATTTGAAGGATCTTTAGATATTTGATAAATTGATATGCTTATAATTCTGAATCCGTCTGAAGAATAAAGAACGCAAGTGTGGTTGTGAACCCATGTGGGAGGAGCAGCAGCAATGGAGTGATGCCCTCAGAATTTTGAAGTATAGAACATTGATTGATTGTAGCATTAAATAAAAGTGTCCCACTGGTCCTGAGGCGAGGGTGGGGGCGTGGGGCTGTGGAACCGCTGAAGGTCGTACTAGGCTCGTAGCAGCAGCTTGACCAGTACTGTATAGTTCGGATTAATCCATCATACACTGATTATTCATATTGGATGGCTTTTAAGATCTTCTTAACTTCCTCGGATTAGGACCCTTCATAGTCCTCCACCTTTAGGTACCATGTGGTACTGTGCTAGTGCGGTCTGTGCTTACATGAATGCCTTCCAAGCTGTCTGGGCAGAAAGATGTCTGCTGCTGGACTGAAAGGTGCCACATATGCTATGCGCCTGTTGAGTTTGGGGGGTTGGGTTCAACATCAGTGGGTCCTTCTTGGTAGGTGCAGTGTGATTCTTCTGGCCTAATAACAATAATTCATCTAGTACTTTTGACTAGGAAGGGTTGGCTACATGCCTGCAATGATAGGAGCTCTATCTATATCTTTCATGCTTGGTGTATGTAATGGAAGGCTGCTGGCAGTTGAGTTCTGACCCCACGGTGGTTAGTGGTTACTGAACTTGGCTACCCTTAGGTACAATTCTACTGTTGCACCAGCCATTGACTGAAGCGCTCCTGGCCTCCTGGGATCTGCTTGATGACGGTGTGGTTTAATCATAAGATAAATTAGGTATGGGGCATAGCTAAATCCTACCTAAATTAAGTAATGGCTAATGTTCATGAGTAAACTAGTGAAAGCATGAACAAATGTCTTTAACTCTTTATTCCCTAGACTAGATAGAAAATGGTGCACCGTAACTATGTCCAGTTAGTAAGCTTGGAGGGAGGGAAGCTCATTGACAATTTCAAAGAAAAGTGATGTCAGATAAATCAAATGACACCAAAAGCTATTTTTGGCATGTGAGCGTTAAACGCAAGGGATTTCAGGTATCTCGAATTACCAACAAAAAGGTAGTCACCTTATCTATTCCTCCCTAGTGGACTGTGTACTGATTGTTCAGCAATTTGGATGTTACCAATATCTATAACCCTTGTTTACATTCTAGCTTGATATATTGATTCTTTCAGTTTTAATACTCCCTCCTTCCAGTTTTAATCATTGCCTCAGCAAAAGAAAGCTTCCAATATTGATCAACGTCCAAATTTGGACATGGGCTCCCCTTTTTCTCGAATTGGATGTGGGTGTCAGTTTAGTACTGCATGCATACATACAACACATGTGCCAACGGTGGGTGTACATGAACGGAAACGAAACGTCTGTCAGATATGATGCTTCATTAGTCTGTGAGATTAATGCATTGCGGGGAGGACACTTCTCTCCTTGCTCTCTGTAGGTAGAGCTTATATGTCCGTCATATTTGGATGGAGGGAGTATTATAGTATGATTTAAGATTTAGCGGTGTCGGGTTCATAAAACCGGGGTCCCCAATGGACCCGCTTCCCTGCAAAACCCGGCCCGGCAGGCGGTGCAGCGACAGCACGCGCCTGGGCCGGTCCAGATACATAATGACAGGCCAAGACAACGATCCGGTTCCCGACCGGAAGGCCTGGCCGAGGTGGGACCGCAGTCCGACTCCGACCCCCTTTCTTCGACCGAGGATACACCGGACCTCTACTCATTTGCTCTTTCGGCCACCGACACGGTCGGGCCGCTGGGAACAATCGGCCGGGGCGCCCGCTCGGTGTGGGCCGGGGGAGCAAAGCGGAGCAGAGATAAGGTAAGGCGCTCAAGTCAACCGCAATCTAGGGACCGTACCACATGCCATGCCCTGCGCACTGCGGAGGCGGTGCCATCGAGGCATGTCAGCGAACACGGTAGAGCTTGCGACAGCGCGTCGAGCATAAATGATGATTGTGGGCGCCGTCGTTTGCGGTACCAGCGAACATGGTAGAGTCTACCAGACGCGTCTGAACATAAACAATATTATGGGCGCCGACGGCCATCCCGTACCCGATGACGTGGGCAACAAGACTAGGCAGCGGCCGTATGAACTCTCTCTTTCTCTCTGATTTGTAAGGCCACCCCCTTCAACTATAAAAGGGGATGCACTCTCTCCTACCAAAAGGACAGGAGCTTTGAACCCCTCGAAGCCCCGAAGACTCGAGGACTCGAGGACTCGAGGACAACAGCACAACGGCTCTAGAGCTCGACAGCTAACCAGTCTACACGCTCTCAACAGCTGATAAGCTCGGACACACAGAGCATACGCTCCGATACTTAGCGCACGTTTGAGCATCCGTCACTCTCTGCCACTCGGCTCAGAGTCTGACCGGGCCTCTAACACTGCCCTTATCATTCCTTACTCGTTTATAACCCCACAGCAAACTTCGAGCACCTAGGCTCAGGAATAAAATCACCGACCGACCTCAACTAGACGTAGGGCCTGTTGCCTGAACCAGTATAAATCCTGTGTCATTGAGTGCTAGGCCACATCCGATTACAACGCACGGCAAAACTACAAATATTTACTTGTTGGACACATTTCGCACCGAAAAGCGGCCTGCATATACTGTAACTTGTAGCTGTTGAAGCCTTAGTTAAATTGTCGTTTTGTATTGCTCATTTTTTTAGGGAGATGATGACCTTGGTATGGTGTTTACTCAAGTGTGCGTGGAAGGTTACCTGTGGGTTTGCCCTTATTTGAATGTAGATGTGAAGTGATCATATTTAGATTACTGAGTTAAATCATGTCCAAGTTCTGAGCATTTCCATCCTCTTTTTTTTCTTAATGAGACATCTACTGATCATGTTATTAATAATTACCACAGATATATTTCTCCAGCTTAGCATGACCAAGTGTCCCCTTTTGCAGAAAAAGAAAATTTGTGCCTGTATGGGTTTCCTAATGAGAGCTGGGAAGTAAATTTGCCTGCTGAAGAGGTGCCACCTGAGCTTCCAGAACCAGCATTAGGCATAAACTTTGCAAGAGATGGAATGCAGGAAAAAGAGTGGTTGTCCATGGTTGCTGCACACAGTGATGCATGGTTACTTTCTGTTGCATTTTACTTTGGTGCACGATTTGGTTTCAACAAAAATGACAGGTTAATTTTCATTCTATCTTTCTGGAATATGTACTGCAATCTCTTTATCTTCTTTTATTGCTTGCCTCTCTCTTTTATCCGTGAAGTTTTCCCACTTTATGCAAAGCTTTCCTACAGGCTCTAATGCTTGTCCTGCAAAAATGTTGGACCCATTATGACAGGCGATAGATACAGATAACATTATAGGTACTACTTAAGAACTGTGAATAAAATTGAACCTGAACAGTGTGTTATCCACTTAGAATTATTTCTCTCACTAAAGGAATGACATAGTCAAATCGCATAGAATTGAGTTTCTGCATGAATGATGAGTACTAAAGAATTGTGAATAAAGATTAATTCGGACATGGCGGACAGTGTGTCATACACTTGGAATTATTTGTCCTCGCTAAGGAATGGCATAGTCAAATTGCACCAAATGAATTTCTGCGAAGAAATTTGAAACTGGTTTGAAACATGTTAAACTGGAACGGTGGTATTGCGAAACATTTCCCTTCATTTTGCAACATTGTCATGTCTTAGTAGACCTAGGTGACTGAGAGGATACAAAGTGATCTGCTAGGGCTAGGATTATTGAAAATTTGGTTTGTCAGTAAACTTCCAGTAGTATTTATGATGGTTTCAGTAAGAATGTTTTCTTTGGGAAGGGGTGGGTTCGTGGGCACGGGGAGTTGTCCTGGTATGATTAATGTTAGTGGCATATCTTCAAGAAAATCATTATTTCTGGCATTTTTCTTAGTTTGTACCTTTATTTGGCAGTATGAGTCACTAAAACTTACCTGTTATGCAGGAAGCGCCTCTATAGTTTGATTGATGATCTTCCCATGGCTTTTGAAATTGTTAGTGGGAAGAGTGAAACCAAGGCACCACCAGCACCAGCACCACCAAGCAGTAGTAACCATAGCAATATCAAATCGAAGTCTAACAACAAAAAGGTACTGCTCATTCTCGAGAGATGCATATACCATGAGTTTGATTAATCTTGAAATCCGTTATTAAAAAAAAACTGTTTGCTATAGTTACCCATAAAGCGCAGCAGTGTGACATTTATTTTTCAGTCTGTTACAATTCATTTCTAGTTTATTTCTTGCATCTGCTCAATCCGTGTATAAACCTCTTGAGTAGTATTTGTTGTCACAAACCTTTAGTTTCTCAGCGTGTAAAATTTATGTCATTTCGAACATGGCATGGTTCCCAACAAGTTGGTTGGTAAACCTGTGGAACCTTCGTTTCTAATTTCTATTCTATAATGACCTTGTCAGCATTACTTCCACCCAATCCGTGTTATTTTGCTGTCGAAAGCTCGACCTTGTAAGGTACTTATGAAAGCTCACTTTAGCTGTCGAATTTCTACACCTAGCGTCCTTGTCCAAATCTAAGGTCTTCACATCGCTCAAAAGTACCGGCATTTATACACTAAGGGAGCATTCAGAACACTATCCATCCTGCATAATTGTATGTTTTACCCTCTTCCCCTCTGAAAGTGCAGAAACCATCGGAGCCTAAGGTGAAGCAGACAAAGCTGCGTGCCCCTGCAGAGGAAGGCCCGGGCGGTGAGGAGGAAGATGGCAGTGCAAGCAAGGGGGAGCACGGGGAGACGTTGTGCGGCGCGTGCAAGGAAAGCTACGGCCCCGATGAGTTTTGGATCTGCTGCGACCTCTGCGAGAAGTGGTTCCACGGCAAGTGCGTCAAGATCACGGCGGCCAAGGCCGAGCACATCAAGCAGTACAAGTGCCCATCCTGCACCGGCAGCGGTGGTGCCGGCAACAGCGGCACCAAGCGAGCCCGCCCATCTTAAGGTGGCCGGCGGTTAGCAAAGCGCAATGGCTACGACTTTTGATGGTGGTGTAAACTTTTGTAGTGCGGCTAGGCTGTTTGTAACCTATCATACTCGGCTTGAAGTTTCATGTGTTTTCAATTGATGAAGTAGGTTTCATATTTTTCAATTTTCATTAGCATTTGCCACGACCATTTAAACGTCGTTACTGTTTACTGTACAGACGGTTTGGCATTCACGAACCAACCACGTACGGCTTTCACGATATGGCTATATAAAATTTGAAGGCGTAATATCCGACCATTGGCATGGTTAACGATTGGACGGAAGATAAAAGTACGGCGACGGCTAAAGAGCATAATCAAAACATATCAGTCACATTATTTTACTATGGTTGAACAAGCTTATCGTATTCTAAGTTCTGACAAATAATGAGCTTACAAATTCAACGTCCAGAGTCATTTACAGCATAAATAATAATTTACATAAAAAGGTAAAGCCGCGACGCTGGTGCATAGGGAGAAGGTGCTCCAGCATGTGAGCTTTGCTTCAGGGCTCCATACTGTTCTGCTCATCTTTTTCAGCTCCGCTCAACTTCGCTAGGCGCAGGCGTGCAGCTCCACAAACTGGTGTAGTTGATGCAGCAAACACGAACTGGTGGATTGATTGAATCCGTCCCAAACAGGGGCTATAATGTTAAGACAGTACCATCTCGCCTACACTGTTTGCACATGAGCGTGTCTGCCAACCATAACCTCTGAAGTCTTAAATGATACAGCCGCCAAGTGAGTGACAAATCCAACAATTACAAAAACAAGGCCGCAAACAACCACAACAAAATTTCCGAAATCATAGAGAGGAGAGCTTACTGCATTTAGTGGTAACACTAAATGCAGAGGAAAAGGCCATCCTCACTGGAATCAATTTTGCAGGACCGCTCGGTAACATTGCACAATTATCAGCATGCTGCCGATACAAAAATCCTGCACCAACCAGATGCACTAACCATACAATTCTAATCCATCAAGGATGCACAAAAACCTAAAACCACTAAAACCTAGAACCAGCAATCTACCAGTAAAACCAGCATATATGCTAAAACCTAAAGCATTTCTAAAGGCGAACAAAAGTTTTAACCAAGGAGTTGTTAGGGGCAAAATATGAGAAAAATGATTGTTGAGGAAACCATAAGGCATCTGGCCTAACTCAACTGCCCATTTTTCTTAAACTGATCTAGCAGGAAAGTTCAGGTGGCAAGTAACACAAGTTTTTGTATGCCTGTCTAGACAAGTCCTGCACATGGAATTCAAACTACAGGCATTGCATACCAGAAACAAAAGACATGGAACAAACCATTTTCCATACTCCCTAGATTCATATACAGTATAAAGCAGTTAAAGCATGTAAATGCTAAGCCAGCAATTCAGAAACTGGTGTCTTGAAGAACATATGTATTGAGTCACATGAGAGGAAAATGATTGTTGGGAGATAACAGGATACAAGTCTAACCCAACTGCCCACTTTCCTTCAATCTATATAGCAGGAAACACTTTCGGCACAAAATGCATAGAAGTTAGCATAAAGCCGATACACACTATCCTGCATAGCAACTAGTAACGCAGAACTGGAGAAAACTCGTGACAGTACAGATGAGAAGAACATGGATGTAGAATTGCTGTTCTGACATCTATAAATTGTACAGTAAACAAATAGAAGCATATAACCTAACTCTATGGAAATGGGTATATTAAAACAAAGATAACCAACAAAACAGATGATGGCAGCATATAGAACACAAAAAATATGTTTCGGAGTACATGAGAGGAAAATGATTGTTGGAGAAAGCAGATATGCTTAACCCAACTGCCCATTTTCCTCAGATTGATATAGCAGGAAACACTTTCGGCAAAAGACGCATCAAAATTGCGTAAAGCCGATACACACTATCCTGCCGGACCATAGTAGGCAAACAATTAACAACTCACGAATTTTTGCCAAAGGAAAGCATTCTTGTAATTGTTCCATCGGTCTAAATAACACACTAGTAGAAAATATAAACTGTAACTAGCGTATTGTGGCTTAGTCATCATCACTATAAAAATACTTGATCAAAGACTACTAGACAAGTAAAATGAATCACAGGATAATATAGAGCAGCGAGATAGAAACAAACAAATACTAAAGTGAGAAACAGAAAGAATATATTGATTGCTACTGTTTGCAACTATAGAAAGTAATACTTTCGACATGTTAATAATAACATTGCACAAACACAAAAGGCGGACCATACCCATAGGCCCCACTCATACTTTTTTACTTCAGGCAACTGGGATTTCGGCGGCAAGAGGCCTCAAGAACTCATCCTCTTCCTTAGGCTCGTGAATTGTAACCAGATCAGGTAAAGGCATGGTTGGCCCTTGCTTGCCCTTTGGATCCCAGTCAAGCATAATCTTAACCTTGATACCGAGCACACCCTGAAGGCAAGTCAACTAGAGCATTAATAACAGAGTTTTTTTTTATTATATGTTTGCATAACAGGATAGCATTTAGTAACAAGCATCAAACCTGTCTCAAGAGAACATGTCTCACAGCTGAATCGATATATAGGTTGACAGGATGACCAGAAGAAATCATGTACCCATCCTTGAACTTCATAGACTTAGCACGCTGGGCTCTGAGCTTGCCACTTACAATAACCTGGAAAAACAAAAAGGCTTATCAACAAGAATGAACTCTAATTAAAACTGCATTGGTTTTGATCTGTGGTGGTCGCACCTCGCAGCCCTTAGCACCACTCTCCATGACAAACCTGAGAACACCATAACATGCCCTGAAAATAAAACAAACCAATTTAGTAAAAGGACTAGATAGCAATTGAAGCTTCACCTATCAATCAATAATAACACAAGCTCAAAACATACAAAAAAAAAAGTAATGTGGCCAACCAGAAATATATCAGAAGCCTATCACCAAAGCTTCTCACAGGTACAATTCCAGTTGGCATAGGTGATATAGTCATCTTCCGACACAAAGTTGGTACAGGGTAACTTATTTGCTTTATAGATGACAATGACACAAAACGCAACTAAAACAACTAATCTCCAAAATTGAGCTAGTTCATAAGTACATATCCTCCAACACTTAGCAATGGAAGAGCAATAATTCCTCCCACTAATTATAAAAAGTAATGGTGGAGGGGGTGGTCAATTTCGTCACCTTCGAACACAGGTCTGGCACAGCAACAAGCCGAGCCTGCTGTGAGAGTGACTACAACCGTATAGCAACCCAGAAATGCCGATCACATTAACACATTAACATAGCAGTGCGATGCAAGGTAACTAACTACACAAGAGCATAACCTTCTCACGGCTAGTCCACCAAGAAGCTCCCAGAAATGCCGATCACATTAACACATTAACATAGCAGTGCGATGCGAGGTAACTAACTACACAAGAGCATAACCTTCTCACGGCTAGTCCACCAAGAAGCTTGTAGCGAAGCGACTCGGCCTGAGCGATGGCGCAGAGCCCACGGTTGTTCACCTTCTCCGCGTAGAGCTCAACGCCACCCTCCGGGAAGTTAAAGCGCTTCTGAACCACAGAAGTCAGCTCCCTGATCCTCCGGCCCTTCTCACCTAAGCGAGATCGAAAAAAACAGTTTCAGCAACCAAACTACTAGAAACCCAAAGTGTCCGCTGTAATCGGAATGGGGGTTGTAGAAGCGCACATACCGAGAACGTTCTGGGTACGGGTGGCACGGATGATGATCTCGGTACGCATGGGGGTGACGCGGACCTCGACGCCGGAGTAGCCGTCCTCCGCGAGCTCGCGGGTGAGCATCTCATTCAGCTCCGCGAAGAACACGCCATCCGCCACGAACTGCGACCAAGCGGGTGAGCAAACAAGACATGATGAGACATCGAATCCATGGGGCCACGCTAGCCGAGCTAGGGATCAACACGGGGACGGCTAGGAGCCTTACCTTCCGCTTCTTGCTGATTGCGTGAGTCGACGCCATTGGAGAATGAACGGTGGAAAAGCCGGCGGCACGGGAGGAGGATAGATTCGGATGTGAAATGCGAGTGAAAATATATAGAGAGAGTACCACGGTAGAATGGTTAGGGTTTGTGCGGTGACTAATGGCTGAGTGGGCTTGCGCGGACCTGGGCACACTTCGGCCCTCTTTGTCATCACTCCATCAGCCCACAAAAGTTTTTTTTTTAGAATAGCCCACCAAAGCTTTGAAGCGGACAGTCATGTTCGGCTAGTTAAACTCTGCTTCTCAGACCCATCCTGAAGCCAAAAAAAAAAAAACTCGAGCTCGTGGAGTACTCGTGGTCTCGTAACTTCATCTTTTTTTCTCGAATACATCTTTTTTTCTCGAATAGAGTACGTGGAGCTAAACCTATTTGATTAAAAAATATGGAGTCCAAGCTACCGAGAAATTGAAGCTTAATCCACTCAAAAACCTGACTAAGAGACCCCTTGATTTTGCGGGGATGAAAAACAAGTTTGCCTCTCTGGTGCTTCATCAAAACACCCTCTAAAATATAGATTCACCCCATGAGCTCACGAAGAGCCGCTAAAGTTCCTTCTCAAAAAACAAAAGCCGCTCAAGTAGGAGAAGCCACGTCAGAATAACTCCTCCTGCATACATACAAAAAAATATTCAACCTATCAGTTTTGAAACATGAAATCGTTTCTTACGAGGACGTTTGGTAGGGTTTTAGTCCAAGCTATCGAGAAATTGAAGCTTAATCCACTCAAAAACCTGACTAAGAGACCCCTTGATTTTGTATGCGGGGATGAAAAACAAGTTTGCCTCTCTGGTGCTTCATTTGTGAAACTATTTCTCACGAGAGTTTGTTTGGCATGTGGCTGGGACTTAGCTTTTGTTTTCCTAAAATCATGTTGTGCCTTATGTGTCGGGCTTGGAGTTGTTTGATTGGTTTTTTTTGTGTTCATTTGCTACTAGATACTAATATACCAAAAGACTTAACATTAGATAGGAGTATTTGAAAATAAACACGTGTATCAATCTTGATTGATTTCTTTCAAAAAACAAGGTTTTGTTGTTGTTGTTGTATTTGCTACTAGATACTCACATTTTCTATTATAATTAGTCTATACGACCTGAACTAGGTAAAAGTTCAAGTGACTTTGATGACCACAGATGTCATGTGACCATGTTAGTGTCACTTGATCCTAACCCTTTATCTCAAGCATCAACCTCGAAAAGACCTCCCAAAGAGGGCATTCAAATGTCACCAAATTAATTACACGCAACTTGTGTGTCTCAGAGAATTTCAAACGCTACACGCAACTCTGACGCAACAGAGAGCACCGAGAAATTCAAATTTCTCCTGTATTACTGGATTTGTTCCGGAAGCAAAGGTCCCCGAGTCTGATCAACGCCAAGCGACCACTCGCCTCGCCAGATCCCTCTAGTATCAGCAATTCACCTCCATGGCAGTATTCTTCCTGACCTCAATTGTACACCTCCAGAATACTTAGATGAAAAATGAACAATCAAGGTTTTCCTAAAAGTCATATTGTAGTCTGGATCTATCGCTCTTGTGGCACGACGTTTTCGTGTTAAGGCCTTGTTTAAGTTTACGTCCTATCTCATCAAATGTTTAGGTATATGTATAGAGTATTAAATATAGACTAAAAAATAATTAATTACATAGATTGCATTGCACAGTTACTTTGAGCTGAGATGCTCGAATCTTTTAAGCTAATCTAATTAGTCTATGATTTGACAAAAAATGTGGTGCTTGTCAGGCTGCAGCCTACATAAACATACAAGGAAGTATGTGCCCAATAATGATGGATTAATTGCAAAAGAATGACAGAGCTTAATAAAATTAAGATGGGATAACTCTCAAAAAGTCTTGTAGTTCCACTTCTGAAAGGACTATGAGAGCATATGCAGAATTTGTTTTTTTTATTAGTATCCAAACACCTTATCACCACGACTGGAGTCCCCATATAACATCCGATCGTGACATCCTAAAAGTTTTTACTAGCTCCTACGAAATTTAATGATAAATAAGCCCTAGGTGTAAATGCGGCTCATTTCATACCTTCGCATTTGTATGTGGACATGGATAGGACAAGGTCCTTTATTGCCCGCCGCCAATTTTTTTCACACTTGTGTCCGATTTTCCTCCCCTCGTATATGAAACAGAGTTTAGTCCTTCTCAACTCTTTAAACCATTTGTTTTTCACACTAGACATTTTTTGTCTAACATGGTGTTATGCCGACCACCATAAGTGACGACACCTTAGCTGCTAGGGGGTAAATCGAGTTATAGTTTTTTGTTAAAAATATTAGAATGTTTTCCTGAAAAATATGCAATTAAAAAATCCTGAAATCTGATTTAAGATTAGAAAATTCTTTAAAAAGTTAGCTAAAAAACATGAATCCACCATCAAGGTTTTCCTAAAATCATGTTGTGCCTTATGTGTCGGGTTGGAGTTGTTTGATCTTGTATGCACTTTTTTGTGTTCATTTGCTACTAGATACTAATATATCCAAAGACTTAGCATTGGATATGAGTGTTTGAAAAAAGTTATTCACGTGTCTGAACCTTGATTGCTTCTGTTGGGTTTCAACTCTAGCCTACCCTAACTTATTTGGGACTTAAAGGCTTTGTTGTTGTTGTTGTAGTATTTGCTACTAGATACTCACATTTTCTATTATAATTAGTCTATACGACCCGAACTATGTAAAAGTTCAAGTGACTTTGATGACAACACAGATGTCATGTGACCATGTTAGTGTCACTTAGATCCTAACCATGATCATTTCAACGTAGAAAAGCATCGAGTGTTGTTGTCGCCGAAGCATCAACCTCGTCTAATTATTATAACAGATATAACAGATAACGAGAGCATCTATTGGCAAATAAACAAAGTGGGACCTTAATTATTCAAATAACTCTAGGCAACCTATTAAAAGATATGTTGATCCAATATAACTTAAACCCAAACAGAAAATATTCAGACAATGGATACGGATACCATTCTGAGTAATTATAAGAGATTCTTTATATCTTTCCATATTGATAGGAATATAGATTTTGGTTAAAAAAATGCCCTTCAACAAATTCTTTAATTAAGTCTCTAAATAATGCCATCATCTATTCTAATTTCTTACATGTTAAAGATAGAAAGGAGGGGATGACAGCATCAGCAAACCACAAAATACACTTATGGAGACGGAAGCACTGTAACCTCGCAAATTGCGTTTACATAGGAATGCCAACATGGCCGGCTGTCACGAGAGCAAATTGCTAGAAATTTCTAAAAGGCCGTTTTGCGTTACTATCAAACCAAAACGAGCAAGGCAACATTACTGTATCAAAGGACATCTCATTTCCTGCAGCACATGATAAACTGAACTAGCAACTCCTGTTCAGATTAGGAACACATCACAATTCACACCCTCTTTAGCACGATACCACAAAGCACAAATCCCAGCAGAATAACACCAGGAAGCAGTGTAAATCTTGCTGAACTATACAATGGTGCTCAAGCTTGCTGATGAATAAGGGTGACGGAACTCAGGATAAAACATGCCCAATGGCATACAACAGTTTTGAATTAATACTACTAGCTTAACGACTGAACCACATCTAGATCCGCTGAAAGTTCACTGAGCCTTGGCAACTGGTTCAAGTGCTTCAATCATGACAACACTGTTTCCCCTAATGACCTGCAGAAGATGTTCCGTGTAAGTACTACATCATACCATCAGAACAATTTGGCAAGTCTTTCCATACCAATATACTGCGAGGTGAGCATTTGACAGAGATAAAAACAAGACAATTACTCACCACCATCCCGATGTCAGTCTTTTCGTTTCCATTGACCTCAACTGTGTTGTCAATGACCAGATTCATGAACTGATCAAATCCACGAAGTGTGCCAATGACAACACGGTTTGCATTCAGCTTGACTGGCCAAAATCAAGGAGAGCTAGTGAGTGAATAAAAATAAACTATATTGCCAGTGCAAGATTAGATGGTACATCGGATCAAAATAGGTATGGAAATCCCGCACAACATGAATAAGCAGCAATCATTCAAAACTGGATCGAAATTCACCAATTATGCATGGATCTTAATCATGGGCGTGCCTGATAATATATAGCATGGTAGGACTTCTGCTATGATCCATATATTTAAGCATCTTAGCCTAAACATGCAAAACATGAGATACTAACATTGCAGCTTTATCAGGCACGTACACGATTAACACAAGATTTACAATATGAAAAATACTATAATGAATAACGATTCAGCAATTAGTATTTTTGTACTATTTTAAGTTGTCATACCCAAAGAAGCCACAGTTCCACTAGTGCAACAGTAAGACCAAGAAGATAAATTGGCTCTAAAAGATTTCTACTTAATAAAACAAAAGGTGGCACAAGTACATACAAGTATGTTCAAATCAGATGAGATAGATTCAAAGGGCCAAAAATGCTTCATCAATTTCTCAAGTATCATTTTTTTTCTTTTTGGTCGTATACTCATATGACTACCACACCAGTGAGTCCAGTTGTTTCACCCCCTCAAAGAGTCACTGAATTGGGAAGAATGTCTATCCAATCATCAAGCTGCCCTACCAGAGTAACTATGACAAAAAAGAGCTACATTTGGGAACTAAATCCATAGCTTTTCAAATAAGTTCATCATTTAGAGCAGCCCATTATTATTGATACAGGAAAAAACAAGAGATAAATGACGATAATATATGGGGGAAAAGGGCCCTGAACACAATAAGAATATGGAAAGAACATATCAGACTGCACATGATATTACATATTTGTATATGTAACCTGGTAGATGTCATACTGAGTTTACGAAGCAGAACAAAACAGCAAATGCCCTATCAGAGTAACTATGACAAATAAGCATCATTTGGACAATTAATCCATAGCTTCGCCAAGATATCATCATTAGTGAAGTCACATAAAAAACATTTTTTCCCCAAGCAGCCAAGCTGAACAGTGGAACACTGAAAAGAGTCATCTGTTTCACGAAATCCAAAACAGAAAAACAAACTGAATAACTTTCTGAATTGACTTAAAGTTAGATATTAACTCAAGCTAGACATCACAGATAAATACCAGCAGAACTCAACTGCACCAACACAAACCTAGAGACAAAGGGGTGAAGGTCACTAGAAATCAGGAACGTTATATATTTCTCTGAACAGCCCCATACAATCCCATACACCAGTTAAGAATGACAAATGATGCAGACCAACATAAACCATATAGTCACATCCAAGCTTATCATCAAATTTGAACTTCAAACACGTGACGAAAACTATGTAGTAACAGGATGTAAAATTACTACTAGTGCATAACTAATAAGGCTAAAAAACTGAAGGATCTGCAAGAACTTACTTTGAAGCTTCTTGTCCATGTACCTGCAATTTACCAACAAAAAGCGATTTAAAATCCCATAAAAAAAGAGAAGCAGCAGTAGAACAAATAGAGCTCGAGATGAAAGGAGCGGCGAGGTTACTTCTTCAGATCCGGAGGCTGCCCTGACCGGCTCATGGCGACTCCTTAACTTAGATCTACTAGTACAACCTTCTCCCCGCCCAACCAAACCGTCTTTTGCGAAGACAAAGACAACGAAAGCGGTCGCCGCCGCCTCGAGAACCTAGAACCCTAAATATTCCAGGGATCGAGTGGTCTGGTCGGTTCCTCTCGGAGTAAGGTTAATCCGAGACTGGCATGCGGGGCCCGTATACATTAGGTTAAACACGAAATGGTACTAAAACCAGGGGTGTTTGTACAAAACTCCCACCATAACCGCCCGGCCCGGCCCGGACAGGCCCAACGCAGGCGTGAGAACACGAAGCTCTCACAGGCTTCAGCTCTGGAACTCTATCGCGTAGTACGGAGTCCGCAGGGCGAGGAGAGATGCGAGCAGGCGCCCCCGCCGGCGATGCGGGCCCCAGCTCCGGCGCCGGCGCCGGGAGCAATCCGCCCGCTCGGCCACGGAGGTTCCCCGGGGCGGCGCAGCCGGAGATCATGCGGGCGGCGGAGAAGGACGACAGCTACGCAGCCCACGTCACGGAGGCATGCCGCGACGCGTTCCGGCACCTCTTCGGTACGCGAGCACTCTCCAGTTTGCCTGAAATTAGCTTCTCCTTGTGGAATTGACTGTGACTTGTGGTGTTTTGCTCTGTAACGATGATGCTATAGGTACCAGGGTTGCTGTTGCTTACCAGAATGAGGTGAGAGCTGGTTGGCTCTTTTGCCATGTCCTTCTACTTAAGCAGTGGCAGTTGGTTCGGTTACTAGAACCTATGCTCTATGCGATTTGCGCTCATGGATTTTTGGTCTGTTAAATACGTTTTGGGCATTTTTTTTCAATGGGTGATTATGAATGGTTTATATCATTTCCATGGGATGAATTTTCAACGGGTGATTATGAATGGTTTATATCATTTCCATGGGATGAATTTTCAATGGGTGATTGTGAATGGTTTATGTCATTTCCATGGGATGAATTCTCCAGAGTATATGGATCCTAACAGTTTTGTATGCTGGGTTATACCATCTGGCTGTTGGATTGGCTGTTGTATTGGGTGTTGTTAGATGTGAATACTTCATACTCTGGTCTAGCTGTTACCAATGTGAAGTTTTTCAAAAACCTAGTTAAATTGCTTTCAATTCTTTCAATTTGGGTAACCATTTTGTAGTGGGGGTACCTAGAAAATGTAAACATATGGTAAATGTCTGGAATGTTTTTAACTTTATTAATTAAAGAGGTATTATAGGTGGTACAACTAGTCTGCATTACATTGCAAACAACTAATGTTCTCAAGATAGAACGGTTGTCGCTTATGGTGTTGTATCTAATACTTCATGCTTAATGATGCCAATGGGGCTGATTCAATAGTTTGTAAATGACTTTTGAAGTATATGTCACCTTTGTAGAGCACGGTGGTTGTACGCTTTATATAATAACTGCAACTGCAAGGCCCTTTTTGTTGCTTTGAATGACATGTTCTTATTCCATAGAGCTGCCCTATGATGTATGAATTTGAGTATTATTTTTTCCTTCCCTAGTCTTTGCTATTTGTTCAGTGGGGAGTATATAATAAAATGTGGAAGTAACTTACATTGATTTGATCTTTCACAGATAAAATTGCTTGGTCAATCCCTTTACTACTTGCTAACAACTGGTTCAGGCCAGCAAACACTTGGCGAGGAATATTGTGATATCTCTCAGGTCATAGCACCTTTTTCATCTTTAGCATTATTTTTTTATTTTCTTTCTTTTCTGCTATTCAGCTATTGTTCAGCATTATGCTTTATGTAGCTTTATATAAATCCTATTACGCTTTATCAAATAGCCTCTAACACTATTGTTTTCCAGTACATATTTGTTGGACATGTATTATTATTTTGTTTTGCATAGCAGTTACAGAGATCATGGGACAAGGCAAGTTTTAGTCCCTTAAACTTTTGTAGAAGTCCACACAACCCTTGAACTGAAACTGGTTATTATACCCGCTAAACTTCAGTTACATATCCCTTAGGATTCCAACCAATAGAGCAATTGTCTTGCTAGTATGGTTTTGGGGACGATTTGCCATTGAGGAGAGGTGTGTCCCAATTTTCTCCCTCTTCTCACATGCATCCACAGTTCACCAGAAAAAGAAGGTGTTGAGTATTGCCTCCATCGAGGATGGACTTATTCCCCGAATAGTGTGGTTAAGTAAATTGACTTTTTTACTGAGGATTTACTTTGCACCTGAAATTAAATACACACTAAAAAATCCCACGAAGTAAATGATAAGAGAAGACTCAATATAATAGCTAGTGAAATAATAAAAAAACTGTTCCCTCTTATACAAATTTGTGGCCCATAAAAGTTATTCACAACAATGCTATACTACTATACTGATGCTGTCCATGTTGTAATTGAACTATTCAGGTTGCTACCTTGCATGGACTTCCACCTACTCCTGCTAGGCGTATCCTATTCATTTTGTACCAAACTACTGTGCCCTATCTTGCCGAACGGATCAGGTTTGAAACAAATTGTTTGTCACGCTCCTTCAAGCACTATATTCTTGCAGAAAAAAGGCTGATTTGATTTTGCTCTTTTATCATAATGTTTTAACAGCTCCAGAATTGTTGCCCGTAGTATTGTGCTCAATGAATCTCAGTTTGATGATCATCCTGGAAGTGATAATTCTAGTAGTGACATTGCACAATCCGTCACAAATAGTGGCATTCCTTCAACAAGCTTAAGTGTTTCTGCTCTGTCAAGGTTAAGAGGCCGAGTTCATGCCTTGTGGCAATGGGTTCTTCAGAAATGGCCTTCAGTAAGATTTTTTCTAGCTGCTACTTTTCATCTGTATTTTATCAGTGCGGAACCTCTCTAGATTCACTCATAGAGGTATTAGCATGACAAAATGATTTTCTTAGATGCTGCCATATGCTCAAGATGTTATACAGTTGGCTATCCGGACAAATCTAATGTTCTTCTATTTTGAAGGTATGTTGTGTTCAATAGATTAAGATCCAATTGTAGTTTATATATATATGATTGAGGACCAGTGGATTGTGGATTTGTGATGGGGAGGGTAAAAACTGAAGAGTTCTGCTTTTTGCATCCTGCTTGGGAAAACCATGGACTGATTGTGAGCTAGTAGGCAAATAGAAATGCCTGGACTGGGTCTTATGAAATCTGGTTGTCATAAGCTATAGACCAGAGCATTTCGAAAGAGTTGTGTGATGCACTCTCAAGATCTGCTGCATATCCGAACACTTCATAAGCTCTTAGTTTGGCATTCAAATTCATTTGCTCAATGCGTCAACAGTAGGCTTCAAGTTCTTGGTAAATAGTGTACCACTAGCTTAGCTAGTGTGGTGACTTTGATTTGTTAGGACCTGATAATATTTCTTATTTATATTTCCTCACACATATATGTATATGTACTATACTTTTATCTATGTGACATTTTTTTTTTTGGTATACTCCCTTTGTTGTAGGATTGTATTATCATTTGCCAAAGCGAGCAGCTGGTATTCGCTATGTATTCATTGGCAAGCCAATGAATCAAAGGCCTAGGTAATGTTTTACCTATTTGCTTATTTGATACAACAAAGGATGTCTTGAATTTACATGTCAACAAATGAATTTGCAGATCTCAATTACTTTATCATATTCGTGTAAACTGTTTCCCTTTTGAAAGATTGAAATTCACCAACAGATAAAAATTAGCTCACAACCTTTTGCAGGTATCAGATCTTGGGTATTTTTCTGTTGATTCAGTTGTGTATTCTCGGAGCTGAAAGGCTCCGAAGAAGTAATATATCGTCAATAGCTAGTTCCATTAATCAAATATCATCTGGAAGCTATCCATTGCCTACAGGTGCACTCTCTTGTACTCCCTCCATCCTAAATTGTAAGTCATTCCAAGAATCTTGGAGAGTCAAAGTTTTTCAAGTTTGACCAAATTTATATAACAAAATAATAATATTTATCATACCAAGTAAGTATCATTAGATTCTTCATTAGTTATATTTTCATATTATACCTATTTGATGTCATCAATCTTTGTGTTTCTCTCTATAATTTTAGTCAAACTTGAAAAAGTTTGACTCTCCAAGATTCTTGGAATGACTTACAATTTGGGATGGAGGGAGTACTTAATTTGTCTTACGCTGAATCTTCTGGGCTCATATGCCGAATCTTAGAGTTTACTTGCTTATAACGTAATACAAATACTTAACTATTTGTTTCTATTTATTCGTGGTAAATGTTAAACCAGGTCGGGGCATCCCTGTTCTAAATGAAGATGGAAATATCATTAGCGACATCCGCAGTGGTAAAGCTGCAGATGTAGCTTCTCATTCAGAGGTATTTGCTTTGTCAAATAAATTTTGAGTCAGGCCTGAATTTTGAGTATTTGGCTATCTTTGTAGTACACTACCTTCAAATAATTGTATGATACTCCATTAACTAAGCCAGATATTTACAGAGGTTTATACTACCACATAGTTCTTTTTATACACACGCAGAACAATTTCTCTCTGAAACGAGCCATTAGTCCACAAATGTTACATTTAAAGATTACAGATTGAGTTACATGTGCTTTCAACCGCTACTCTTCAACTATACTTGTTTAGTTTACTGCACTGTATTCATGGATTTGTGTAATGCTTACACTGTACTTTATGTCTAATGTTCAGGCTTCCAGTGGCAAGAGCAAATGCACCCTCTGTCTCAGCACCCGGCAAAATCCTACTGCCACAACCTGTGGACATGTTTTCTGCTGGTAAAAGTTGTTTTTACAAATTACAATTGATCATGTATTGAGTCTTGACAGATATAAACTGATATTCATCTATGAACGCTTCGACAACTCATCACATACCATGCAGGAATTGCATAATGGAGTGGTGCAATGAGAAGCCTGAGTGCCCCCTATGCAGAACTCCGATTACCCATTCGAGTTTGATTTGTATATATCATTCAGATTTCTAGCAAATCATTTCGCACAGTAGGAGTCCATACCATACTTTGCTGGCGTCAAAATTTCTAGACCATATTTCGGCAAGAAACCTGCATGCCGAAATGGTTTCGTATACTGAAGTGGGAGAAGAGTACGAGACCACTTCAAGAGGTTGAAGATCAGACAAAGTTGCATACAGTAATTTGTTGTAGGGTTGAAATTTCGAAGTGCAGTAGGGCCCACAGGAAGTAGAAATTATTTATTCCTGTTTGCTTATGCTGTAATTTGGTTTATGCTGATGTTTATGCTGAAATGTTGTCAGAGAGACACTGTTTCATATCTAAAAAGTAGCTCAAGCGAACAGTGGCAGTTCGGATAATAGATAACTTATATTAGAACACCGATGTGTAGAACAATGGCCGACTCCAATCATCGAGCTATTTAGCAATATGTTGTTTCCATTTTCCTCGCACTTGTACCCGCTTATGTTTTATGGCCCATCCGTTCTGTCCCCCAGGTTTGGACGGCGTGACTGGATATTTTGAGACACCGCCGACCACTTTTGTGCTCCTGTTTCACCAACCGGGTGGCTATGTTGATCGTTGGAGTATCTTCAGGTTATATAAAAGGCGCCGGTTTGTGCAGGTCGCTTTAGCATTCTGCACACGGTTGTTGGGGCCATTGCTAGCCATCGACCAGCCAGCAGGCTCCTCCTTTGGAAAAAATGAGCAATTGGTCGACGGTTTTGTAGCGAAGTCACCACCGTTCACAGAAAATAGAAAACCCAAAGGCTGCATATCCATTCGTGCCGCCAACGCGCCCTCGCGGCCTCGCCCTATCAGCTGCCCGTGCACACAGCACATTGCCGATTCCCGCACCAAACCAGCTGCGCCGCCGCCCCGTGCCAAGCGAGCTCGCTACCACCTCGCATCTCAGCTCCGGAGACGGGATACCCATTCCCAGCCTCGTCAGGTCACCGTCTCTCTCACCACCGGCCGGCGCGCTCTGCATCTTTAACCCTCCCCGCTGTCACGCTGACCTAAGCATGATTTGCCTCAAAGCCTTCTCATCCCCTCTCAACCTCCCGACCCTCCGCCGCCTCACCCCCACCTCCTCCCTCCGCGTCGCCGCCGCCGCCATGTCGTCCTCCTCCGCAGTCGCCACCCCAATCGAGCACTTCGTGCTCTTCAAGGCCCGCCCGGAGGCGGTGGCCTCAGGCGCCACGGCAGCGATGATCTCCTCGCTGCAGGCGCTCGCCACGGCCGTCCCGGGCCTGGCCTACATCCACGCGGGGCCGGTGCTCCGCCTCCGGTCCCCGGCCGCGGAGGCGCTGGGCCCCACGCACCTCCTCCATAGCCGCTACGCCACCAAGGAGGACCTGGCGTCCTACGCGACGCACCCGGCGCACGTGGCCGCCGTGCAGGGCCACGCCCTCCCCAACGTGCTCGACACCACCGCCGTCGACTGGGTCAACGCCGCGCCGCTCCCGTCCCCCGCGGCCCCCGGCAGCGCCGTGCGCCTCACGCTGGCGAAGGCGAAGGAAGGCGTGGAGGTCGCGCAGCTCGTGGAGAAGGTGGCCGCCGCGACCAAGGCCGCCGGGGACGCCAAGGGCGCTAAGGTGAGCTTCGGGGAGAACTTCTCCCCCGCGCGGGCCAAGGGGTACCAGTTCGGGATGGTGGCGGTGTTCGACAGCGTGGAGGAGCTGGACGCCGTGGAGGGGGACGGCAAGGTCGAGGAGGCCAAGGCCGCGGTCAGGCCGCTGTTGGACGAGGTGATGGTCCTGGACTTCGTCGTCGGAGATGCTCCAACGCCTGCGAGCCTCTGATTACAGGTCTCAGGTTCTCAGTTTCGGGATTCCGAGTGTGTTGTTGATTTCGGAATAATATGGATGGATAGACTCCTTGTAGCTTGTCAACTTGTGAAATTGGGAATGGCAGTGTAATGAATAAGAATTGCTTCCCTTGATTAATGATCGAATTATTAGGCCTGTTTGGCAGCTACAGCTCTCGAGAGCTCCTTAATTAAGGTTTGCCTAACACGAAATAAGGAATCAATTATATGCGTGGCACAATCTTCAATCTTTCAATCCAAGTGCTCGCTAGTACACTTTCAATCCAAGTGCACTCTTCTAGTCTGCTCATTCAATTATAAATGATGTTCTGCCATGCCATTTCATTTTATTGTATATATGGTTATGTGAAAAGTAAATCACCATTGTAAACCTTGAGGCATTTGCAACCACCATGGGTAATGGGATGATCATACTGCAGTTTGCTTAATTCTTTCTGAGAAACCGAGAATATTATGCAAAGTTATACAGTGACACTGCTGAAAATCCATAGCTGCACCTGCATGCATAATTTGTAGTGTTACTGTATAAGTATCAGCCTGTTCGGCTGGGATTATACGGTCGTAAACGATCGTGGATTATAAGCTGGAACATTATTTTTTTCTCACACCAAACCAGCCAAGCCAGCCAGCAGTAAATAATCCACGATCGTATACACTGCTGATAACATAATAAATGATGTTTAACCAGGTCATTTCGTTTCAAAATAAAGATGTTTAACCAAGCCATGTCATCTGAGTGTCTGCTGTATATATTTGGTGCTGGACTACATCATCTGGCCGCCTGCCAGAGAGGTTCCAGCAGTGTCCGAAGTTCTGAACCTCTAGGTTTCAGGTTCAATCTCAGTCAGTTCCAAGCATGTAGATGATTTTAGAATATTGGGTTCCTTGTGGTTGTCATTTTGTGAAACTGGAGATGACAGAATGATGAACAAGAATTACTTCGCTTGATTAAGGATTAAGGATCCAGGTAGGATGTTCTTACCAGGATTGTGCCTATGTGCCACTGCACATTCTTGTGAGGAGAGTACCTGCTCCTTTACTAGTGTAAGAACAATGTGCTCTTTTGATTATAAGTGATGTCTTACCATGTCATTCATTTGAGTGTCTAACATACATAGTTTCATGAAAAGTAAATCACCTATTGGAAACCTTAGCTTCGGTGACAGTTGGTAATTCTTTCAGTTGCAGCTGCTAGTCCTGTCCAGGAAATTGAATAATGGAGCAATCTGAATGATATTATAGTTTTTCATATTTCTTGTGGATAAACCCATTTCGTGTATGGGCATATATCAATTAAAATAAAGAACGTTACTACTAGAAATTAAAGATACCAATTGAACCAAAAATATCCAAGAGTGGCTGTAGTTGTTTGACGAAGGCAATGATATACTTATTTTGCTAACTTTAAGATCTCTTGGTTTTGGTTATCAGGTATCTGAAGGGCACAGATTGAAATTGGAAATCAGTCTCTGTGTTGTTTATAGACATAGGCTAAAAAACCAAGTGGAAGTCATAATCAAAGCACTATGAAACTAGTGATTACAATATTTTTACTTAAAGAAGATTATCTTGTATCTACAAAGTACAGACAGTCATCTAATTCTGTTTTGTTTGTCATAAGAGTGGGTAATCATTTTGGTGTATAGAAGATGAGTATACTTTCTCTGTCCTAAAATAATATCAATCTGAGTATCTTATGACAGAAACAAAACAGAGTTAGATGACTGTCTGTACTTTGTAGATACAAGCTAATCTTCTTCAAGTAAAATTATCGTAATCACTAGTTTCATAGCGCTTTGGTTATGATTTCCACTTGTTTTTAGCCTATGTCTATAAGCAACACAGAGACTGATTTCCAATTTCAAATGCTGGTATTAATATACATAATAAGTATTAATATATAATAAGTATTATTTTGGGACTTATTTTGGGACTAAGGAATACATAATAAGTATTAATATATTAAAGATATCTTTATAATAAATATATTTGAGATACAAAAGCTAAGCATCTCCAAGAGTTCCTTAAATCCCTTCTAATCCTTAGTTTTTAGCAAGATGAGAAAAAACCCCTCTCCAACAACTCCTAATCCATCCTCCTACGCCCGGTTCGTTTGGGCTTATTTGGCTTATAAGTCGTACTTTTTCAGCCAACGAACAATATTTTTCTCTCACGCCAAATCAGCCAACAGTACTTTCAGTCATGGCTTATCAGCCAAACAAGCCCAAACGAACAGGGCGCTAATCTTTTAGAACTTGAAAAGTCACCCTGTTCCGCGTAAAGTTACACGCTTCCCAGTCGCGCGTATCTTCTCTCCCCGTGCGTGTTTATCTCCTATATTTTAGGAGTGGATTATTAAAAACTCTTGGAGATGACTTTTTTATTTCTTCCCATACTTTTTTAGGAATTGTAAAACTTCATGTTTTTGGAAGAAAATATTGGGTACTCTTGGAAATGTTATATCCTATAAATTTAATCTAGAAGGTTTGAATCCAAAAAAAAAACAGCAAGATGTAGTATATTTTTTGAGACAACGGAAGCACGGCCGTTTATTTGTTCTTGAGCATTCTACGAGTGAGTTCATGTTTTGTCCTTTTGCTTGCTATAAGAGCAGCCCCAACAGGCAACAGTGAATGATAAGTTAGCTCTTTATAGAGCTAAACTCACACGCATCTTTATGATTCATGTGTTTAAGGTCACACATTTTTTTTTCTTCTATACTAACATGTTATAATGTATGTTATTTTATTTTCTTTTAAGTTCATATGAGCTAGCAAATTGCTTTGTTATTGAGGGTACCCTAAGCCACGATGACCTCATTTAGCCGTTTGCGGCGCTTTGCTAGGTGAAATGTGCTGGCTTCTAGGATCATGCGCCGCTCAAAATCCACCATTCAGGCCTTCTTCAAACCAAGGATTTTTTCCTATTTTCTATATTTTTTCTATACTCTCTCCATATAAAAATAAATGCCCAGAGTCGATCTACTAATAAAATGTATTGTTTAATAATATTTATTTGGCATTATAAATATTAGGATACCTATATTTGTACTAGTATAGTGCTCGTGCTAACGCCACTATACCATTTCAGGGATGCAAATGAAAACAACCAAATGTCGATTTTTTTCTAGAGTTCAACTTTCACATAATTATATATGACCATGTATACAATCCAGAAAACATTTAACAAGGCATAATAAAGTTATTTCTCGCATTAACCATCTTATCGGTATAGAAAGTGACCAATTAGTGAATTTTTTTAGTTTTGTTGTACGTTGTGATCAGAGGTGGCCTAGCACTCAATGACACATGATTTATACTGGTTCAGACAACGTGCTCTACGTCCAGTGTGGGTTGGTCGGTGACTTTATTCCTGAGCCCAGGTACTCGAAGTCTGTAGTGGGGTTACAAATGAGAAGGAGAAAGAAGGGGTGTACGAGAGGCCCGGTCGGGTCCGACCGGAAGGGCCGAGGGCGACCGGAACTTCGCTATGAGCTAGGTGTTCAAGCGTGTGCTTGAAGGGTTTTTGAGCTATCGATCTAGTGAGCCTGAACTTGAAAAAGTGGACCTTCGGAAAATCGGTCTCCTTCGTTTGGAGGGAGCGCATCCCCTTTTATAGATGAAGGGGATGACTTTATAGGTGAGAGGGAGAGAGTGCGGATGTTCCTAAGCCTTGTTGCCCACGCCGATGAGGACAGTGATGATGGTAGGCGCCCACAATATTGTTGATGTCACTGTAGAATGTCAGGTGCACATGGGTGGTTGTGTTGGCTTCTTCAGGAAGGGTGGATGTCGGTACCTGCAAAATACGATGGTTATGTGAGGAGCCCTTACCACGTGTACCAGGTATGGTGGATCCTGGCGCCAACTATCGATGCCCAGAGGCATGGGGGGCTTTTTGCCGTATGGGAGCCCAATGTCGTCTACAATACTGTAGGCACAAATGTCGGCGCCTACAATACTGTTTGCGTCAGAGCGGTTGAGGAGCACTATTCCCACAGGCGTACAGGGTATGGTCCCGGTATCGAGGTTTAACTTTGTGCATTGCCTTCTCCGTTTGCCCCTGGTCCCTTCCGAGCGGGTGTCCCCGATCGGATGGCCCCAGTCGGCCCTGGCCGCGCCAGTCGGAGAAGAGTGGTAAGCAGGCTTCCTACGGGGTCCCCGGTTGGAGACACGGGGTCGGAGTAGGAAGCGGTGCTTTGGGCCAGGCCTTTCCGATCGAGGAGACCGCCCGGAGGCGGTTAGTGCCCAAAGCGAATGCTCCGGTTGGAGAGGTGAGCCGGAGAGCTTGACGAGCGAGCGCCTGTTTTTGGGTAGACCTTCCGGTCGGCGTCCAGACTGTCCCTCTGGCCCGTCGTGTCTAAGGCTCTTGGGCCGGCCCACGAACTACATGCTGTTTTCCTGGGCCGAGCCCTGACGTAGAAGCCGGTCCTCGAGGGACCCCGGGTTTATGAACCCGACAGGAGCCCCCGAGCCCCCAGGCGATTTGAGCAGAATCGTCAGGGGGATTTTTGCCCTGCCGGCGGGTGTAGCCCCCGAGCCCCCAGGCGGTTCGAACAGAACCGGCTGGGGGTTTTTCTGTGTTGTTAGCAGGGGAGGTTTTTCTGTTGTGTCGGCGGGTGCGCGCGAGCGCACCCGCGGGTGTAGCCCCCGAGCCCTCGGGCGGTTCAGGCAGAACCGTCTGGGGGGGTTGTTTTAGCGGGTGTTTAGTTTGAAACGGATTTTCGTTTAACCGTGGCATCGTTGTGTAGCCGAGGGGTTTTTTAGGCGTGGATGAGACAGAACTTACTGATCCTGGCCTCGGTGCGCGGCACGGATCCTAGCATCGGTGCGCGCCGCGGGATCGGGCGAGTCGGAGTTGTGGATTTGGCGAGTTTGAGGTCACTGTCCTTGGCATTTTTCTTGAGCCCTTGAGCCCTATCGGGCCTTCGTGGGGGTCGATGTGAGTATTGTGCGTTACCCCATCCTCGGTTCC